ACCCCCTTGACTGGCTTGTGCCAGAGTCTTTGCAGATCGATCTTCAAATCCTCATATCGTGTAGGCTTTTCCAGTTGTGTATTATTATTATTATTATTATTATTATTATTATTATTATTACTATTATTATATGTACATTTATTATTCAACTCTATTATTATTCTTACATTTAGATTGTTTTACTCTATTATTTTGATTACATCTATTGTTTTACTCTATTATTATTATTATTACATGAAGGAGCCCACGGTGGAGCAGTGGGTTCAAGCACTGAGCTGCTGAACTTTCTGGCCAAAAGGTCGTAGGTTTGAATCTCAGGAGTGGGGTCAGCTCCCGCTATAAGCCCCAGTTTCTGCCAACCTAGCAGTTCGAAAACATGCAAATGTGAGTAGATCAACAGGTACTGCTCCAGGAGGAAGGTAAAGTCATGCCGGCCACATGACCTTGGAGGTGTCTATGGACAACGCTGGCTCTTCAGCTTAGAAATGGAGATGAGCACCAATCCGCCGAGTCAGACACAACTGGACTTAATGTCAAGGGAAAACCTTTATTATTATATTTATTATTTTACTATATTTATTATTAATATGTATTTATTATAATCTATTACATTATTACATTTATTATATTACTGTTATTATTGATATAATTGCATTTACATTATTTGACTCTATTATTATTCCATTTATTATTTGACTCTATTATTACTGTTTTTTACATTTTCATTATTTGACTCTATTATTATTATTATTATTATTACTACTACTACATTTATTGCTTGACTCTATTACTATTGGAAGGATACGTAAGCACATTGACATTGAAGAAGGTTAGAACAGTGGCTTAATTAGAGTTGGGCAGTCTTGTCTTAAATTACAGTTTTATGTAAATATCCAAAAACACTGAACCTCCCGATGCCTCAATTAATGTAATGTTATTGGTATCTATTTTTATTTTGAAATTGACTAGTACCTGCTCCATTTCCCATCTACGGCTTAGACTGGAGTCAATACGTTTCCCCATTTTTTTGTGGTGAAATTAGGTGCCTCGGCTTATATTCAGGTGGGCTTATACTTGAGTATATATGGTTCATGCAAAACATGTTTTGATTTGGGATTACCCCCAACACCAGTCCCAGGAAAGGCAATCCAGGCTTGATTTTCCCATTTCTTTATCTTTTCAGCAGTCCACAGTATCCACAGGACTCTACTTTTATCTCTGCAACTTGAAGCGTTTCTATTGGTCTGCCATCTGTTCCTGGTGATTTATTTTCCCCCCAAGTCCTGATTGTCCAATGCCATCGTATTTCTAATTTCCATGTGTGGTTGTGAAAGCCAGGCAGTGATGGAAACCGATAGCAACAAAACCAACTAATCTGTAATGTGCATTTGGAGAAAACTCTCCCTAGAAACTAAGGTGATTAAAAACGGAGACTTTGGATAAATTCTGAGAAGACACTGCACTCGCGGAGCTCAGGCGGTGTTGTATTTCAGTGTCGGAGTTGACTTTTGTGGAGAGGTGGCTGCCAAGGTGGCGGAAATGGTCAACAGAAGCATACCATGTCAATAGTATCGAAAGCAGCTTATAGGTCTCAAACAAGGGTTCTCCACCTTCCTAATGCCACGATCCCTTAATGCTGCTTGTCTTCCCAAGAGATTTGCAGGATTTTCCGGAGGCAGCGCTGATGGAATCGTTCCAGGAGTTGCATGTAACGTCTGTAGACAGTCCACGTTTCACAGGTGTATAGCAGGGTTGGGAGGGGAATAGATTTATAAACAAGCCCCTTGGTCTCCCTACGGATGTCCCGGTCCTCAAACACTCTCTGCTTCATTGGGGAAAATGCTGCACTCGCAGAGCTCAGGCGGTGTTGTATTTCAGTGTCAATGTTGATGTCTGTAGACAGTCCACATTTCGCAGGCATATAGCAGGGCTGGGAGGACAATAGCTTTATAAACAAGCCCCTTGGTCTCCCTATGGATGTCCTGGTCCTCAAACATTCTCTGCTTCATTTGGAAAAAAGCTGCACTTGTAGAGCTCAGGTAATGTTGCATTTCAGTGTCAATGTTGATGTCTGTAGACAGTCCATGTTTAGCAGGCATAGAGCAGGGTTGGGAGGACTATAGCTTTATAAACAAGCCCCTTGGTCTCCCTACGGATGTCCTGGTCCTCAAACACTCTCTGCTTTATTCAGAAAAATGCTGCACTCGCAGAGCTCAGGCAATGTTGCATTTCAGTATCAATGTTGATGTCTGTAGACAGTCCATGTTTTGCAGGAATATAGCAGGGTTGGGAGGACAACAGATTTATAAACAAGCCCCTTGGTCTCCCTACGGATGTCCCGGTCCTCAAACACTCTCTGCTTCATTCGGAAAAATGCTGCACTCGCAGAGCTCAGGCGGTGTTGTATTTCAGTGTCAATGTTGACTTTTGTGGAGAGGTGGCTGCCAAGGGAGCGGAAATGGTCAACATTTTCTAATGTTACACCATTAAGCTGTATCTCTGGCATTGGAGAGGGATTGGTTGGTGACTGCTGGAAGAGCACTTTGGTTTTCTCAATGTTCATCTGCAAAGGTGTTTAGAGTGGCTTGTAGATCTTCTTCTGAATGTGCACAGACGATGTTGTCATCAGCATACTGGAGTTCTATAACAGATGTTGTTGTAACCTTGGTTTTGGCTTTGCTTCAATGTTCAATGACAGGCGAGCTTCTCGTATGCTTCTGCAAAGGTGTTTAGAGTGGCTTGTAGATCTTCTTCTGGATGCGCACAGACGACATTGTCATCAGCATACTGGAGTTCTATAACAGATGTTGTTGTGACCTTGGTTTTGGCTTTCAGTCTACTGAGGGATTGGCTCATGTAATAACTGTAAATAATATAACAACAATACTAATATAATAACATTTCCCTGGCCAATATAAACAGTAAAGTAATCCTAATGATGATGTCTCCTGGCCTTGGTCTCAAAGAAGACCAAGATGAGGATGAGCAGCACAATGAGGAGGAGGGGATTCTGTGTGCCTCACTTCCGGTTTTCCTTGGCGCACAGACGACGTTGTCATCAGCATACTGGAGTTCTATGACAGATGTTGTAACCTTGGTTTTGGCTTTCAGTCTACTGAGGGATTGGCTGGTGAGTGCTGGAAGAGCACTTTGGTTTTCCCGATGTTCAATGACAGGCCGAGCTTCTCGTATGCTTCTGCGAAGGTGTTTAGAGTGGCTTGTCGGTCTTCTTCTGAATGCGCACAGACGACGTTGTCATCAGCATACTGGAGTTCTATGACAGATGTTGTAACCTTGGTTTTGGCTTTCAGTCTACTGAGGGATTGGCTGGTGAGTGGTGGAAGAGCACTTTGGTTTTCCCGATGTTCAATGACAGGCCGAGCTTCTCGTATGCTTCTGCGAAGGTGTTTAGAGTGGCTTGTCGGTCTTCTTCTGAATGCGCACAGACGACGTTGTCATCAGCATACTGGAGTTCTATGACAGATGTTGTAACCTTGGTTTTGGCTTTCAGTCTACTGAGGGATTGGCTGGTGAGTGGTGGAAGAGCACTTTGGTTTTCCCGATGTTCAATGACAGGCCGAGCTTCTCGTATGCTTCTGCGAAGGTGTTTAGAGTGGCTTGTCGGTCTTCTTCTGAATGCGCACAGACGACGTTGTCATCAGCATACTGGAGTTCTATGACAGATGTTGTAACCTTGGTTTTGGCTTTCAGTCTACTGAGGGATTGGCTGGTGAGTGCTGGAAGAGCACTTTGGTTTTCCCGATGTTCAATGACAGGCCGAGCTTCTCGTATGCTTCTGCGAAGGTGTTTAGAGTGGCTTGTCGGTCTTCTTCTGAATGCGCACAGACGACGCTGTCATCAGCATACTGGAGTTCTATGACAGATGTTGTTGTGACCTTGTTTTTGGCTTTCAGTCTGCTGGGATTAAATAAAGGATGCCCTGGAGGTATTTATTTATTTATTATTTATTTATTTTGGTTTCTTCTACCCCGCCCTTCTCACCCCGAAGGGGACCCAGGGCGGCTTACAAAGGCACAATTCGATGCCAGCATCACATAACAGTAGTAAACAAATAGCAACAATTAACAAATTAAACAACAGTTCCTGAATTACAACAATAAAACCAATAAAACCAATACAAACCCAATTACTCCTCATTGACAGTCAGCGTTCACTATCTCATAGTCCAAATTCCAATTCCACATTGTCAGTCCTGTCAATCCTAATCGTCTGATTGTCCTTATCTGGTTGTCAGATTGCTCAAAGGCCTGGTCCCACAGCCACGTCTTTACCTTCCTCCTGAAGGAGAGGAGGGATGCTGATGCCCTAATTTCCCCCGGGAGTGAGTTCAACAGGTGAGGGGCCACCACCGAGAAGGCCCTGGAGGTAGCTGCCCCTTTCAAACTCAAAAAGAGCCATCCCTTTAGGGGAGGGCATTCAGACCTCTCAGAATGTAAGAGAATTTGTGTGTGTGCGAGAGAGAGAGTGAATGTTTTAACATTTATCTCACAGCAAATTCTCCGCAACCCAAATTAATTCCTGGTTGGGCAGGGAGCATTTCAGCTTCCTTTGGAAAGAGTTATATTCAGCCACCCGAGCCACTCCTCCTCCTCCATCTGCTCAGAGAAGAGGAACAAACAAGCCATGGCGGAGAGAAGGAAGGAAGGAAGGAAGCATGTGCAACTCTCTCTCCCCGAAAAGCCATGCCAGAGCGAGGCGCCTCGCCCCTCCCGCTGCCACGCCGAATGGGGGAGCCGGGAAAGTGGGGGGCGGCCCAGAACCCGGGTCCCAAAATAACCCGCCGCCTTGCCGAGACTCCCCCTTACTCAGAGGAACCGAGGGGTGGTCGAAGGCAGGAGCAATTTCAGCTCACTCATGTTTTCACCTCCCACACACACCAACAACATATTAAAAACTGGGCCCGGTTAATGTGCTTGGCTTGAGTCATCAGCCATATGATCAAAGGCTGGATCTAAAAAAGGGGGAACTGGTTTACTCACTGTCTTGGGTACAATCTGTTTCTTCGGCTGCCCGATCTTGAACGGAATCCTGGAATTTGGGGCCGGGAAGGGGGGGGGGGGGGGGGGGGGGAGAGAAGCAGAAAAAAAGATATGAATTTCTGTAAACAAGCAAGTGTGTCAAGTGAAACAACATCTCTCTCCAGCCTCTCTGAAAGGAAAAACTAGGCGGGGAAGGAGTGGCATTTCGGCCGCAACTCAAAAAGGGTGAAACAGAGGGGTTAGACTTAGGGGTTCTCCACTTTCCTCATGCCACGACCCCTCAATACAGTTCCTCATGTGGTGGTGACCCCCAACCATCACAAGGTTTTCAATACTACTTCATCACTGTCATTTTGCTACTGTAATGAGCTGAAATGCAAATATCAGCTTCCTGACTGTGAGAGCTGTTCAGCAGTGGAACTCTCTGCCCCAGGGAGTGTGGTGGAGGCTCCTTCTTTGGAAGCTTTTAAACAGAGGCTTGATGGCCATCTGTCAGGGGTGATTTGAATGCAATATTCCTGCTTCTTGGCAGAGGGTTGGACTGGATGGCCCATGAGGTCTCTTCCAACTCTTTGATTCTATGAAGATGTTCAGCAGTGGAACTCTCTGCCCCGGAGTGTGGTGGAGGCTCCTTCTTTGGAAGCTTTTAAACAGAGGCTGGATGGCCATCTGTCGGGGGTGATTTAAATGCAATATTCCTGCTTCTTGGCAGAATGGGGATGGACTGGATGAGGGCCCACCAAGTCTCTTCCAACTCTTGGATTCTATGTGAGAGCTGTTCAGCAGTGGAACTCTCTGCCCGGAGTGTGGTGGAGGCTCCTTCTTTGGAAGCTTTTAAACAGAGGCTGGATGGCCATCTGTCAGGGGTGATTTGAATGCAATATTCCTGCTTCTTGGCAGAATGGGGTTGGACTGGATGATGGCCCAGGAGGTCTCTTCCCACTCTAGATTCTATGAGAGCTGTTCAGCAGTGGAACTCTCTGCCCCGGAGTGTGGTGGAGGCTCCTTCTTTGGAAGCTTTTAAACAAAGGCTGGATGGCCATCTGTCAGGGGTGATTTGAATGCAATATTCCTGCTTCTTGGCAGAATGGGGATGGACTGGATGAGGGCCCACCAAGTCTCTTCCAACTCTTGGATTCTATGTGAGAGCTGTTCAGCAGTGGAACTCTCTGCCCCGGAGTGTGGTGGAGGCTCCTTCTTTGGAAGGCTTTGAAACAGAGGCTGGATGGCCATCTGTCAGGGGTGCTTTGAATGCAATTTTCCTGCTTCTTGGCAGATGGTTGGACTGGATGGCCCACAGGCATATATTTAATGATAAGGCATTCTGACTGTGAGAGCCGTTCAGCAGTGGAACTCTCTGCCCCGGAGTGTGGTGGAGGCTCCTTCTTTGGAAGCTTTTAAACAGAGGCTGGATGGCCATCTGTCGGGGGTGATTTGAATGCAATATTCCTGCTTCTTGGCAGAATGGGGTTGGACTGGATGATGGCCCACCAGGTCTCCTCCAACTCTTTGATTCTAGGATTCTATGATCTGAGATGCAGGATGGATTTTCATTTACTGGACCAAATTTGGCACAACTACTCGATACACCCAAACTTTGAATGCTGGTGGGGCTGGGGATTGATTCTTCATTTGGGAGTTGTAGTTGCTGGGATTTATAGTTAAACCTTAATCAAAGAGCATTCTGAACTCCACCAATGATGGAATTGAAGTAAACTTGGCACACAGAATTCCCATGACCGAGAGAAAATACTGGAAGGGTTTGGTGGGCACTGACCTTGGGTTTTGGAGTTGTAGTTCATCCAGAGAGCACTGGACTCAAACAAGGATGGATCTGGACCAAACTTGGCACCAATACTCAATATGCCCAATTGTGAACATTGGTGGCATTTGGGGAAAATAGACCTTGACATTTGGGAGTTGTAGTTGCTGGGATTTATAGTTCACCTACAATCAAAGAGCATTCTGAACCCCACCAACGATAGAATTGGGCCAAACCTCCCACACAAAACCCCCATGACCACCAGAGTGGGCCACAGCAACACATGGCAGGGGACGGCTAGTCGTAACATAAATATCTGATATGCAGGATGGATTTTCATTCACTGGACCAAATTTTGCACAAATACCCAACACACCCAAATTTGAAAACTGGTGGGGTTGGGGGATTGATTTGTCATTTGGGAGTTGTAGTTGCAGGGATTTATAGTTCACCTATAATCAAAGAGCATTCTGAACTCCACCAGTGATTGAATTGAACCATACTTGGCACACTGGACTCCCATGATCAATAGAAAACACTGGAAGGGTTTGGTGGGCATGGACCTTGAATTTAGGAGTTGTAGTTCACCTACATCCAGAGAGCACGGTGGACTCAAACAATGATGGATCTAAACTAAACTTGGTATGAATACTCAATGTTCCCAAATGTGAACACCGATGGAATTTGGGGAAAATAGAATCTTGCCATTTGGGAGTTGTAGTTGCTGGGATTTATAGTTCACCTACAATCAAAGAGCATTCTGGACCCCGCCAATGATAGAATTATGCCAAACTTCCCACAAAGAGCCCCCATGACCAACAGAAAATTCTGTGTTTTCTGATGGTCTTTGGTGACCCTTCTGACACCCCCTCGCGACCCCCCCCCCCAGGGGTCCCGACCCCCAGGTTGAGAAACACTGGTCTAGGGCAAGAACAAGGAGGAAAGGGTTTTTTTAGGAAGCCTAAAACTGGAAGGTGACAGATGTCAAATTGGTGCAAGGTAGCCTTTTGAAGACTTGGCTGAACCTCTCAGTATAGCACACACTGTCTTAATTCCATTCCTAATGAGACGGAGGTGCAAATGCTACGTGCTATTTTTGGTAAGGACCGGACAGGTGAGCAAGAATGCAGGAGGGAAAGCTCCCTTTCCCACCACTTCCCTATTTAACACCAATAACAGCACTGCTACCTGAGAAGAGAAGTTGCGCTTCTGACATTCTCCTTTCTAAGAAGCACTGAAACCGAAATCCAGTTGCTAGTGCCATCTAGGGTACGCCCACTGAATCAAGGATCTCTAGGCAAGATGCAACATCACAACGAGCAGGAGATTTGGTGGGGCCACACCATTTGCCATCAGCAACTAGATTTAAGCCTCAGACTTCATCTTGGTAGGAATGGAAGCTTTTGCTGGGAGGTCTCACTTGGAATGTGGGTTATAATCCAGACACACAGGTATCCACTTAGGCAGGTAGTTAAATTCAGGGCATTTGGGGGGGGGGGGGCGGTGAACAACTATTCCCCCCATCGTGGCTTTCCTTACTACAAGGAATCAGCAGTGGTGCCCAACCTTTGGTCCTCCAGGTATTTTGGACTTCAATTCCCAGAAATCCTAAACATTGGACAAGCTGGCAAGGACTTCTGGGAGATGGAGTCCCACCCAAACACCAGGAAGGTCACAGGTGGAGTATCACTGCTATATTGTTTTGGCATTCTGACAACAGCCCTGTAGGATTTACTATTCTGTGTTGTAGTCCAGCCTTGGATTGTGCCTGAAACCAGATCTCTCTGGGGATTCTGGACCTCTTAGTCAGTCTTATGACATTGGGAATTCTGGGCCTGCAAGTCAGCAGGAGATGATTTTAAGCTCTGAAAATGGGCGGTCTATGTCTGAAGGCCACATTCCAGAAAGGCAGTCTGCTAGGGAAGCAATGTCAGAAACAGAATGGAGCTCAGAGGATGAAACTGAAAGTCCAGGTGGACAAACTAATGAGAAGCTAGATAGGAGATTTACATTCCGTCAACATAGAGCTTCTCAGGAGAGTTTACGAAGGTTAAGACGCCTATTAGCCAAGAAGTCCTATCGGTTTCCCAGGGAAGAATGCATTATTTTCTCTCTCTATATTAGCTAGACCAGCAGATGGGTCCATCAGTCCATGAAACATTGGTCTTTGAATATAGAACTACAGTATATTCTGGCGTATAAGACTACTTTTTAACCCAAGAAAATCTTCTCAAAAGTTAGGGGTCGTCTTATATGCGGGTGTAGTCTTATGCATGGGAGTCGTCTTAACTCTATATTTTAACTGGAAAAGTTGGGGGTCGTCTTATACGCCCAGTCGTCTTATATGCCGGAATATACGGTACTATTAAGTCAAGGGATTTCTAGATCCATATTCCAAGTTTCCCTTTGTTCGTGTCTCATGCTTCCAAGTTTTTGAAAACTGTTCCTGAATCTCATGTTTTGGATTTATTCTGCTTTTGTATTCCTGGTTTTTGATGCTACTCCTGTACTTGGATTTCTGTGGATTATTCCTGACATTTGGACTTTGGTTGTTTTTTCTATATATATAATATTTTGCTGAAAGGCTTTTCATAAATATTCTCCAATAAACTGCTTTGCTATTGTACCTTGGACTGTGTTAACATACTGGAAGAAAGCGACACCTGCTAATAGGAGCTTCATAGGTAAAGGTAAAGGTTTTCCCGTGACATTAAGTCCAGTCCTGTCTGACTCTGGGGTGTGGTGCTCATCTCCATTTCTAAGCCGAAGAGTCAGCGTTGTCCGCAGACACTTCCAAGGTCATGCGGCCGGCATGACTGCATGGAGCGCCGTTACCTTCCCGCCGGAGCGGTACCTATTGATCTACTCACATTTGCATGCTTTTGAACTGCTAGGTTGGCAGAAGCTAGGGCTGACAGCGGAAGCTCACGCTGCTCCCTGGAATCGAACCTGCGACCTTTTGATCAACAAGCTCAGCAGCTCAGTGCTTTAACCCACTGCGACACCGGGGGCTCCTAGGAGCTTCCTAGCAAAGAGTAAATAAGTGAACCTGAGGTTTCGGCAACTGGACCCAAAGCAGGCAGTGACTCTTTTGGCTGCAGGCGCCACTCCACAAATACCTCGCCACAGGAGACGGCACTCAAGGCTGACCACTCTATAATCTGAGGCGGAGGGTGCCGGAGGGGAAGGTGCCAAAGAACCCGTGAATGGCTCCGGCCCTTCTCTCCTTCTTTCTTCCTCTCTCTCTCTCAGCCTAGTTGCCCCCATTGTTTTCTAACCGAGGGCAT